TAACGATAATGATGTTGAAACCAAAAACTCAAACGTCCCTTTTCAAGTTCCTCACTGTCCTGGAAAACGAGGTTTGGTTTTGCATACTTGCCGCTTACTTCTTCACGAGCTTCCTCATGTGGGTCTTCGATCGTTGGTCACCCTACAGCTATCAAAATAATCGTGAAAAGTATAAGGACGACGACGAGAAGAGAGAGTTCAATCTGAAGGAGTGTCTCTGGTTTTGTATGACCTCGTTGACACCCCAGGGCGGTGGGGAGGCACCAAAGAATCTCTCGGGACGTCTCGTCGCTGCTACCTGGTGGCTCTTTGGTTTCATCATAATCGCCTCTTATACGGCAAATCTTGCCGCGTTTCTCACGGTCTCTAGGCTCGACACACCGATCGAATCTTTGGACGATCTTAGCAAACAGTATAAGATACAGTATGCGCCAGTTAAAAATTCTGCGGCGTATATTTACTTCGAGAGGATGGCTCACATCGAAGCTCGATTTTACGAGTAAGTTAAAACGAGAAATTCCAAATTGAGATATCCAGTTTAGTGTTCCAGTTGAGCGGGAGACAATTTACTCTTTAATTAAAATTTGCAGAATATGGAAGGATATGAGCTTGAACGATAGCTTGTCGGAAGTGGAAAGGGCAAAATTGGCAGTCTGGGAATATCCCGTCAGCGATAAGTACACGAAAATGTTTCAGGCTATGAAAGAGGCTAATTTCCCGGCTACCGCGGAAGAGGCAATTAGACGGGTTCTTCGTATTGATTCGAATAATGAATTCGCCTATATCGAGGATGCATCGACGATCAAGTATCTCGCTATGACGAATTGCGATGTTATGCAAGTAGGAGAAGAATTCTCGAGGAAGCCTTACGCTATTGCCGTGCAACAAGGCTCACCGTTGAAGGAACAATTTAACAATGCGTACGTAAATAGACGTAAATATAATTTATATTTCGTTTCTTATATAATTCACAGGATAATAGTTATAATAGGTTATTATCTCTTTTCAATACGTAGGATTTTAATATTGTTGAATAAGAGAAAATTGGAGAAACTAAAGGACAAATGGTGGAAACGTAATCCCGAAAGGAAGGACTGCGGGAAGGAGGACGAGCAGAGCGATGGTATTAGCATTCACAATATCGGTGGTGTCTTCGTAGTGATTTTCGTGGGCATCGCTTTCGCTTGTTTAACATTAGCTTTCGAATATTGGTGGTATCGTTATCGACCAAAAGCCATTAAAGCCTCGAGTCGGCAAATCGCCTCGACTCCGAACGGCAAAGCTACGAAAGCCGTAAGACCAATAAGATTCAATTTACAACCGGCACCCACTCAAGGCTTTCAAGCCGCTCGATTTAAATCGAGGTTTTGAATGTATCCTGCTTTATACACATGCATACGTACTTTATACACATCATACATATCGATATGAGTTGTGCGCGCATGGCCGCACACACGTATATCTTATCATATCGTCGATATATTCATATTTATCTATCGAATATTGTGTGTCATACGTCAATATGACTCTAAACGATTTTCTAATTAAAATAGAATATTGCCTTTCTCAACCGTATCCCTTTCTAACCTCTCTCCGTCAAAATCCTTAACTCTCCGCCTCTTTGCCAACGCATTGGGTATATTTGTTTTTACCTTTTTTGCCACCTGTGTTACATACTTTTCTCGTCTTTTAAGAATGGAAATAAGGGCAATAAGCATTAACATACATAAGGCATTCTTTGCCAAACAAAAAGCAAAAGAAGAAAATTTCTATATTGCCACTATTTGTTATTTTTCTTACCTGGAATAAAAAAAGTTTCATCATTTATATCAGTCACAATGAAAAAGATTTTTTACAACAAGTTGCAAATGATGGAAAAGAACAAATTCATCCTTCCGATCGTATTTTGGGATCGATACTTCTTTGGCAACTTTTAGAAAACTTTCTGTTGTAAAATTTCCGCCATAACGCAATAAGCTGCATACTCAAGTAAGTCTCATCTCGGCATTGGCCAATTTTTTATAGATAACCCGTTTGAATCAGCCAATCGGCTTTCATTTCTCCCAAATGCATCGCACGCAACGCAACGGCATCTTGAACAGTTCCAGAACTGCGCAGGCGCTTCGTGTACATGGCGCACGAGGAAGAAAGAAAAAAATAAGTGTCGAGAAATATTTGATTGAAAGTATTTATATATGTAAATTTTGCTCTTTATCGTAAATATTTTTTAATAATTAATGTTGCGTTTATTTTTTCAACGTAACATATATATTGGGACGTATTGTCAATGGATGCTTCGATAAATATATTTAAGGTTACAAAGTTGTATTAAATATGAAAAGGAAACGTATTCTTTAGTTTTATTATATACGAGACGAAGTAACAATTTCGTCGGGATTTTATGCGATGGGGATAGGAAATATTAATATGCGGCCGAATGTTATATTAAAATTTTCCTTTTCGGCACCATTGCGTACTTGCACGACGAAGAAACACCGTCAGAAATTTCTTAATAGACATTTCACTGACGACGTAAAGTATACCGTGAAAAAAGAGAAAATCATTCATCCCTATCGCAAGTTGCACCCATGGAAATCTCATGAAAGCTTCTCCCAATACTTGTTAAATAATGTTATATACAACAAAGGTTAGAGAAATTGTATATGCATTTATTATTTACATAGTTTCTCAGATTCAACAAGAATATTACCACTTTTCTTCTTTATTACTTTTTTTCTTTGTTTACAGATGGATTGGTTGCGATAAATAAGCCATACGGCATATCAGCCAGAAAGCCAGTAATTGTAAATAAAAATAATTCCAATGTTTATTCCATAGTGCCAAATAACGTGGATTATACCTTAGAAGATAGTATGCCATTTTTAGCAGAGAAATTAGGATATACCGAACTAATTATAGTTAAAACACCAGAAAAGTAAGTTTTCTTATAAGAGAAATATTTTTCTGATGTTTATAATGTGTTTCGCATTAATTGCAGATTTATGAGCGGCGTAACGCTATTAGCTGCGAACGAAACGTTGCAAGATGCTATAAATTCTTCTTATCAGAGTTCGATAGGAATGAAAATTCTTAATAAAACATATTGGACTATTACTTCAAGAGTACCAAGTCAAATAAAAGGAATGGAACATTTGTGTATGTCGAAGCTGTTTAATCGATCAGAATCTGATAAGAGGGTAATTTTATTTTGTACCGTGCTTATGTTGCGCCTATGTACCAATTTTATTCACTTTATTCCATATTGTAAATTTATAGGTAGTAATTGAAGAGAAATGGAGTAAGAAAGCGGAAAAGCGGCGAGAAATAAAAGTGTTAAATATCGAATTTAAAATTATCTCAAATTCAACGAACAACCTAAGTTCCTTAATAGAGATGAAAGCGTCAACCATAAAATGGCATGCTTTACGTTTGTTCGCTTCAACCAGATTGTATACTCCAATTCTGGGAGATAATATTTATGGATCTAGAATACAGAATATCGCAGACAAATGGTTATTAGTAAGTCCATTTGCAAAGATAAATAATAATTTAGGAGAAGTGGATCCTAAACTGTTGGAAATATTATATTTAACTAAAGCTAAACAGGAGCTAATACCTTGCCACATTCATGCTCGAAGCGTAATTTTACCAAAATTCAAGGGCGAATCTTTGACGATAGAAGCACCGCTAATATCGCCATTCGACTGGACTTGCAGGCAGTTGAAATTTAAGAATATACCCGAATTAAAGGAAATCAACGAATAGAAAGTTTTGATCGCAAGCTCGACAACAGCCATATACATATATGGCGCTGGAATATTTTCATCGCATGTAAATCCCATTTGTGAGACAAATTTGTGGGACACAGCAATGATAAGAAATAAAAATTATTAATATTAATTATTTCAACATATATTTAATAGAGATATTTAATCAACTACTTGAGAAATATTGTGTAAAATAATTAATGACTTAAGACATGTTTGCCTTTTAATATTCTTCTCATAAGAATTCGTCTACCCTCAGGCGTAGACATCCTTGCATGCCATCCCAATCTAGTAACTCGTTTGTACTCTGAAGGTTTTGGAAAGTTATACCTCGGTTTCGTTATGTAGAAGAATTTTGTTCTGACGGATGTGAAATTCCATTGACACTGATTCGGTCCAAGATTCGGTACATTCAACGATCGAACGAGCCCATTGCTTGACGTATTGTGTCTGTTGGGAAGAGAAATTTTTTAATAATGATCTCATTACATATGCAGACACTGACGTAAACGAAATATATAAATAAATGAAATGGGACGTACGGTAATGCATTTAAAATGCTAGAAACGAATCGGCCGAACATCCTTTGACACGTTTGTCTCTATTGAGATACTTCAAAGATATGGAGCGTATGAGGGTTAGTATAGCTAAATATTCTTCAATATTTTCTTTCTGCTGCTAAGAGATGGCGCTCGCGAAAAGGCAAACTGTGGCGACCTCGTTGCGACTGTTACGCTATCTCCGGGCAAGACGCATAATTAACACGCTACCAAACCTCGGCCCACGTGGGGAAGACCAACCAAACAAATTGAGAGCAAACAACAAAGAAATCATACATTCTTTCTTTGATTCTTCTTAAGATCACAGCCATAGCTATTGATAAACCGATTAAACTAAACTCTATACTTAATCGAAGTTAAATAAATATATCGCAATTATTGCTTGATGTGCAAAGTTTCTTTCTACATCGTCGACGAAAAAACCCCCACACGATTACGCCATTTCGGCGTAATCGATGAATCATTTGCCTATCTGCAGGCGTAATTCATTTATTAATATCAATTTTTTTGATTTCATATAGAACGTGCGAGGATAAAAAAAATAAGTAATAATTTTTAACGTTTAAAACGTTACGTTTTGATTAATGGCTGGACGAATTTAACAGATCCATAATAGGATATTAAATGTCTAAGTAACGAAGATTAAAAGTTTCTGCCACGGTAGATATTTATCAAACTGATAACTGCTCGCGCGTAATAATTCATAATGCATACGTAAATAATATCGAAAATAATAATATAATGACTCGACGGAAAGATTTACTTAGAGATTAATCGAAAACCCTGCATAATGCTCTTTAGCCCTTAGTAATTATCAAACATCTCGTCGTTGACGATAATTATCAAACATCATTCTTCATAGAAATCGTCCTTTCCTGACTTTCACGTGATCGAGTCAAAAGGTATACGTCGATGCCTCTCCAAGATCATGAAATGTCTTGTTCGAGCATATAATACCCGATTCCGATTAATCGTCCTGTAGTTTTCTCGAATTACGCGAACGTAAAGACGAGATGTAAATATGCAGATGTAAGTGCTATCATTCTCGTGCACGATGTTCGTCACGTGCTTACGTACTATACCTGTCGCATCACGCTCTCGATACGATCTTTTATATACTTCTTGTTTTCGCAAAGTAGAAACTTCGAGCGACTTTGAAAGACGATATCAAGTTAGCTTTCCTCAATCTCGTTTCATAACTCCTTTCGAGATAGAAATTATTATTGTAGATACGCAAACTTAATTTATTCATGCGTCTATTCTTTTTTCTTACACTCGTGAGAAAAAAGTAATTTTTAGATCGTTATCTTTAGATCTAAGAGAAAAGACATTTCTATGAACTTGATTGATATTAAAAAACATGTTATTTCATTTTCGAATCTGTATAAATATATATATATATGGTATCTTTAAATGTTACATTAAATATTACAATTTAAGGGAATTCACAGATAAACCGTTAGATATCGATCTTTTTGCAAATTGGAGAACGCTTATGCATACACCGTAGCCGAATGCGTTTCCCTTTTTCGTCTTTTTCTTCGTTTTGCGCAATATTTTTTGTTTCGAGAACATTGGATTTTATACTCGGCGGATTGCGTAAAAGCCGTTCACTTTTATACCCGGGCGCGAATCAGGTCTGCTCCTGGATATGTGGATATGAGTCCGATCCTTTGATTCTGACCCGATGAAAAAAGATCGGACTGGAAGGTGTAAACCATTACATCCCTCTGCGGAAGCTATGTAATCCGTTCCATCCGTGCTAATGCGCGCATAACATTCGTAGAATTGGCGAATGCCCGTTTAGGACCTGCAGTAAAAGCAAATAATCCTAATCAAAATTGATCATCGACCGTTTTAATCGGCCTTATCGTCGGCCTGACATGACGAGAAAGTAGTCTGAACGATCATTTTCTTTTTTTTTCTTTTTCAAATATAAAATAAAATGTCCTATCGGTGTCGACACGATGGCGTAATAACGATACGATGACGGTTAATAATAAATTATGAAAAGTGAAGATTAATTTTTTTAATTCGAGCGAATCATAGCCCTCAACTCGTTTTCGAGGAAAAAAGATGTGATTTTGAGACGTGCTCGAAGGAAAGCGTCCTTCCTACGATAAATATAAGAAATCTGTTACGAGCAAGTATCCATTCGTAGGCAGGATCGCACGTTAAAAATGCTTAGACGTATCGTCAAGTTAAATCTTTATAATAAATATTATATACAAAATTATCGCTCCTTTGGGCAACAGTAATTTGATAAGAACAGTATATGTACGTCAAGAAGGAAAAGATTGAAAACGATCTCATAAGTTATTAATAAGGCGCAACTCGTTCTAATGCGTGTAATCAATTCAGGATGCTCAACGAACGCTGGAAAGAAGATCCGTTGCAATGATCTATCAGCTATTAAGAACGAAGAGTGCAATATTGTTCGTCGGAAATTAATTCAAAGTACGCTTGTATCACGAAGATCTCTCTATATGAAACGATAAGAGTTATCTTCAAAGATCCATAGAATAAATTAAACCTGTATATTCAACATATTAATATGTTTTATTTTCGAAAACATATGGATTTATAAATTTTCCTCTTTGACCGTATTTCTTTCTTACTTCTTATTTCTCGCCATTGAAAAGAAAAGAGTAGGAAAAGAATAGAAAGAGAAAAAAAGAAAAGAAAAAGGCGTGTCGATGAAAAATCTACGAAAGAAGTTTCGGAAACCTTGAAAGAGATAAAAAAGAGAATAAACTGTCGTTCGTGCTTAGAAACAGTAACGACTTTGGTCCAAGTCATTCAAGTCTATGTAGAATCACTCTCGGATAAACGTAAAGAAACTCCTTTCATATTCTTTTTCGCATTAAGTGACTACTGTAATATCTTTGTGCCCATAACGAGTTTCTCTCTCTCTCTCTCTCTCTCTCTCTATATATATATATATGTATGTATATATATACATATTAAATCATGTAGCGCTTTGAACTCTCATACTCATGCATATATATTTGTACTTTTTCTTTCTTTACCTCACAAAATTAATTCTCCATATCCAAAGGTTATTTTTTCAAAGAGTTTTCTAATTTCCAGTTGAAAAATTAGAAAGAGCGAAAGAAACAATTTGGCCACTAGACGAATATATTTATTTGGTTGGTGGGTCGCGCTCACGAATTAATCTATCCTGGACATAAGACATAATGACATTGAGTTCTCTTCAATTACGGTCGGATTAGCAAAGCACGAGGGGTCCCCCCCTTCCGTACAGAATCCGTACCCAGTGTCCCTTGCACGCTCTCTCCACCTCGTGCACAATCTGCCACGGCCTTTGAAACGCTATATAAAGTGACAAACTTCCTCGGTGGCTCGGTATTAGCGTTAACACGGTATCACGATACGACCGGCTGTGTTTCGTCGGTCCTTGGACTCGGTCGGCGAGAAATCACGACAGAAAGAACGAACAATATAACTATAAACATACAACAATATCAATCATCTCGAGGTTTTTATTTTTTTTTCGATTGTTTCGAGTGTGTGATTTCTCTCTCTCTCTCTCTCTCTCTCTCTGTGTGTGTGTGTGTATGCATGTGTGTCTTTTGATCGAACCAAAATTCTCCCGATTACAAGAGTTTGAATGATTTTTCAAAAAAGACGATAAATATTTTCCAACTAATAAAAGAAAAAGAAAGAGGATAAGCACGTGTTCGTGATATATTGGAAATTCGTTAGAAAGTTTCGTTCAAGATTGATCCCTTGATAATACATATTAAGTAGATACATACTTATATTGTTTATCAACGATCGCGATTTTGAAGATACTTCGATAATCGATACGATAACCCTTTGGAGTGATACTGATTTTCTTTACGTAAGAACAAATATAGGTTACTCGTCTATTACTACCACGCGAGCAATGCCGTTGATGGTACGATACCGTCGTGTACACTGTACATGCTAATCGATCGGGCATCCTATACATACGTACTTACATACATATATGAAACTTTATATTCCACTCTATTCTCTCTTTCTCTTTATTTATTTTCTTTTATCTTTATTTTAACAAATGAGAAATACTTCATCGAAGCGATAATTTTATTGTTTCATCTGCTTGGTAAAAAATTTAGCATTTCGTGAACAATCGTTAAATTTGTCTTCTTACATTTTGTAACATCCGTTTATTGAGTTCTGTATACGAAACGACGTAATACGAGATATATTTGGAATTATCGATTCTCTTCCTCTTTTGTGTTTTATTGAGAATCGGAAAACTTTCAAAATTCCATGTATGTGTGTGTGTGTGTGTGTGAAACATGTCTTGTTGAATATGTAAGATACAGCAACTTCTTTTCATCTCTCTTTCTTGAGATTAAAATATGATAAATGAAATTAGAATAGGAATTCGACCACTTTAGGATTTACTACTTGTAGAAATTACAGCAAGAAATGATAATCTCCCGATCGTATTAGATCACACGATGTAATCTCCTGCAAAAGAACTCTAGCAATCATTTTCAACGTTCGATTTAAATCGATTTTATACGCTTGTTACGCAGATATTATATAATTATTATCGACTGTTAGCGAATAGTTCTTTTTCTAAGAAGGAGAAAAAAAACTAAAGCAACGTATTTCCAATTATTCTCCAAGTAATTATTAAGAAACGTCCAGGATTCACGAGAATATAAAGAGGATAACTTATTACATTTGTTATTGCATTTAGTTGATAACTTAAAGTGGACAATTTTTAATTGCAAGAGTTACAAAACTATAGGCAAAGTTGGAAGGATGATGTGTTGTTAAACGCAAACAAATTGTTCACCTTAAAAATTGTCGTAAAAAAAACTGTATTCTAACGACAATTCTTTTTACTTTACAGATTGAAAAATCATAAATATGAAACGTCTCGTCGCGCTAATTTCCATGATATTAAGTCTTCAGGATTCCACGGCCTTACGAATGGGATCCATGGATTACGAAGGTATGTTAGAATTATAATGCTTGTTGAGAGCTTTTTAATCTCTTACACCTTAACTATATTAACGTTTCTTCGATTATTTTAATACTTTGCATTTATCGACGATTTATGCGATTT